CGGGGGGCGCCGCCGCCTCGTCCACCACGGCGCCCGCGCCGCGCTCCTCGCGGCCCACGGAGAAGGCGTTCACGGTGCCCATCACGGATGTGACGGAGAACGCCCTCAAGGACCTGGATGACGTCATGAAGACCACCAAGATCATCATTGGCTGCTTCGTGGCCATCACCTTCATGGCGGCGGTCATGCTGGTGGCATTCTACAAGCTCCGGAAGCAGCACCAACTCCACAAGCACCACGGGCCCACGCGCACCGTGGAGATCATCAACGTGGAGGACGAACTGCCCGCCGCCTCGGCCGTGTCCGTGGCCGCCGCCGCCGCCGTGGCGGGCGGGGGCGGCGTGGGCGGGGACAGCCACCTGGCCCTGCCCGCCCTGGAGCGCGACCACCTCAATCATCACCACTACGTGGCGGCCGCCTTCAAGGCGCATTACAGCAGCAACCCCGGGGGCGGGGGCTGCGGGGGCAAGGGGCCGCCGGGCCTCAACTCCATCCACGAACCCTTGCTGTTCAAGAGCGGCTCCAAGGAGAACGTGCAAGAAACACAGATCTGAAGCCGGCCGCGGGGGGCGCTGCGCTCCGCCAGGGCGCAGGGGCCGGATGCGCCACAGCTCCTGGGCCCCGCCCGCCCGGACTGCGGGACAGGTGGGGCAAGGCCTGCTGGGAGCCCCAGCTGCTCCTAGACGCCACCCAGCGGCCGGGCGGCGAGGACGCAGCCGCCTCCGGGAAGGGGTTCCCTGGGAGGCCTTCCACCGCTGCGCGCGCCCCTGGCCGCCAAGCATTCAGGAGAAGGGCCACCTGGGATTTTTTTCCTCCTCGCTCTCCCCACCGCCCTGCCCGGCCCTCCGCCTTCTTCTAGAGGAGAGAGGAGCTTTTTTGAAGGGGTCTCCTACCCCTCGCCCCCCACCCCTCCTTTGACGGTTCATTTTTTTGCAGTTTGAAGCCTGCCCATCCCTCCCACCTCTCGGCCCTGGAAACTTAAGAGACAGAAAGCGCCGTCCGAACCTCCCTGACACCCTGGTCCCCGACACTCTGGTCCCTGACCCCAGCGCTAAGCTCCACACCTGCCCTTGCCCCCCCTCCCCTTGGCTGAGGGGGGACAGCCCCACCCCGTCGCCCTCGCCCCTGCCCCAACCCGTCCCACGGACTCTTTTGATACTGAAGGGGGGTTTGTGTCAACGACTACCTGCTCTGTAATTACTTTAAAAAAAAAATGGAAAAAGTAAAAAAAAAAAAAAAAATTTGTTTTGGGGTTACAAAAGCATGGAAGAGAGGGAAACAAGATGGAGGCTGAGCTGGGGGCGGGGTGAGAGGCCCAAGAACTCACCCGGAGCGGAAGGTGGGCAGGGCCGGGTACTCCCTGGGTGACATGGCCCCTCCACCGCCTATGTAGGGTCCAGCAGGGACCTGAAGCCCCAGGGCAGGCCTAGTCCCCCACCGCTCGCCGGCCACTGGTAGCTAACATCCCCCTCACTTCACAGAGGACCCTGAGTGGCTCAGTTTATGCTTGGCTACTATCTTGAAGGTTGATGGTTCAAAACCACCTATTGGTGCTGCTCAAGAAAGACCTGGCAATGAGCTTCTATAAAGATTCTTGTTAGGTGCCATCCATTCTGTCTCACAGCGCCCCTAGAGGACAGAGTAGGAATTGCCCCCATAGGCTTTCCTAGGCTGTAATCTAGAAGGCTGGCGGTTCAAACCCACCACCCACTCCTCGGAAGGCAGATTAGGCAATCTACTTCGGTAGAGATATGGCCTCGGAAACCCAAGGAGGGGTCGCTATGAGTCAGATTCGGCTCAACTGCGGTGAGTTTGGTCTGGTTTTGAATCTTCACGGGATCCGATTACCAGGTCTTTTCTCTGCAGAGCTGCTGGTGTGTTCAAACCACCAACCCTTTGGTTAGCAGGTGAGCGCTGACCCACTGCGCCACCAAGGCTTTGTTAAGACTGCAACCAAGAAAACCCTGTGGGGCAGTTCTACTCTGTAACACAAGGGGTCGCCATGGGTCTGGTTATTCTGGGCGTGGTGAACCAGGGCGTTCTGGTCTCAACCCGGAAGCCACTCAAGACACTGCTTCAGGAGAAAGGAGGTTGGGGAGGGGGAGCTATGATTGTGGGGGGATGGGAGGCCCGGCAGCCGTGGGGGAGGCCACGTGGCCTGAGAGAAGCTGTGTTTGCGCGTTATTTTCTGGTGAAGACGCAAGAGGGGACGCGGTCCAGGCCTGGGGCGCGGAGGAGACAGTGCACAGCTTAGAAAGGCCACGGCTTGCTCCGAGGGACAGACCCTTTGGTCAGAGGCAGCGGCTGGGGTGGGCAGATTGTGTGATGTCTGAGGACGACAGGGAGGCGCCCAGGTGTCAAGAGAGAGGAGGAGCGAGCTGCCCAGAGGTTGAGGACAAAGGGGTGACCAGAGCCCATCAGGGCCTGACAGCTGTGAAAGACAAGAGGGTAGGCCCTTCCAGGCCACCCTGCTCCCCTCACCTGGGCAGACACTGCGGGACACCAGCCCGGGTCAAGTGACCTTCGGCGCGTGGGCAGGGCCTGTTTGGGGAGCCTGCTGGGGTCCTCGTGCTAGCACCTCTTCCCCGGCTGTTCCTGGCCCCACAGCGTCTTGTCTGGGCCCCCAGGTGGGGCTCCCACAGCTCATTCTCCCCTTATCCGCCTGGCAGCCACTGCAGGCGGCGAGGTGTCTCGGGTCTGGGCCCTATCAGTCTGCGACTATCTGCCGCTGCCAGCGCCGCCTGTCAGCTTGGGACCACCCCCCCTCACGCGCGCGCGCGCGCACACACACACACACACACACACCCGCCTCCCAGCCTCCCTTTCACGCTCCCTTTCCCTGGCGGTCCCTTTCAGCGCTGATCCTGGTTGCCATGGAAACACTGCAGCGGGTACCAGGTGGTGGTTGGAGGCACGGCACGGGGCTGCCGCCTCCGCCATTTCCGTGCCGGGCACCCAAGAGGCGCAGCGGCCGCAGCGGCCGGGCAGGACGAGTTCTGGGGGGCACTTGAGGACTCCCCAGGCCTCAGGAATTCTTCTTGGCCCCTGCGGGGGTGGAGGGAGGAACGGGCACGGGGATGAGGATGGAGCAGGCTGGGGAGTGACTGGAGGCATCGTGGGGCGTTTAGAAGGTGAAAAGTCAAGGGGAACCCAAGGGCAATGGGAAGAAGGCGGGAGGTCCGGGGGGCGGTGCTGGGAGGGGGCGGGGCGGGAAAGAGAAGGGCGTGGGGAGGGTCAGGGGCGGGGCGTGGGACCCCCTAAGGAAGGGGCGGGGCGTGGGGCGGGGCGTGGGGCCCCCTGAGGAAGGGGCGTGGCTGCTAGAGCAGGCTGGAGAGCAGAGGGGCTGCCCGGCTGAGGCCACTGAGGGCCAGCCAGGTGGGGTGTGGACAAGAGGGGAGACGCAGCGCGCGCAGGGTGGGCTGGAGACAGAGCTAGAGAAAGACAGACAGACACGGGGGAGAGAGATCTGAGGGAGAGAAAGAAGCGCAGGGAAGGCGGCGGAGGAGCGCGGACAGGGATCGCCAGGGGTCGCCAGGAGCCAGAATCCACCTGCGGCAGCTTTTTCTTTAATGGACAAAGTAGTGCCAAAGCGGAGGGAGAAACGGGAGAGATGGCCAAGCTGTGCCCCCAGAGTCCCGTCGCCAGCTCCTCCCGCTCCCTCCCAGCCCTCTCAACCCGCAGCCCAAGCGGGATGCAGTTTCCATGGCAACCTGGCTGGGCGAAGAGGGGCGGGGGACTGCCGAGGAAGTTCCCCACACCGGCGGGAAGGGAGGAGGGTGCCTGGGAGGAGGATGGAGTGAGGGCCAAGCGGGGCCCTGGGTCCCAAACCAGCAACTCACCCTCCCACCACTCCCACCACCCCCACCCCCACCCCCACCCCCCCTCCGGGCGCGGGGAAGGGTCCTACCCACCCCCACCCCAGCACACCCACTCCCGCAGCTCTGGGCCGCTGACAGGGACGGTTCTGGAAAGGCCCAAGGGTCAAATATCCAAAGGTCACTCACTGCCCAGGCCTCACGTGGGGAAAGGGAGGGCAGCGGCCAGCCAAGCGCGGTGGCCACAACTGAGACACCTGCTACCAGAGCCCAGGCATGGCCCTGGGCAGGGTCCCCCGGAGGGTGGGAGTGGTGGGCTACGGCCGCCTTGGTGAGTCCTGAGCATCTTGGGCCTCGCCAAGACCCTTTACCCAGGGCCACGGCCCCCGACCCCCTTGGCCCCCTCCTGTGTCTTTTTCTGTGCCATGCACATGTCTCTGCCCCCCTCTCTCTTGGTCTCAGTTCCCTTCTCTGGGTCTCTGGGCTCCCCTCTCTCCCTGGTCCCTGACCCCCTCTCACTGGTCTCTGTCCACTCCCCTCTTGGTCTCTGTTCCCCCTCTCTGGGTCTCTGTCTCTCTCTCTGGTCACTGTCCCCCTCTCTGGATTTCTATTCCACTCTCTCTGGGTCCCTGTCCTCCCTCTCTGGGTCTCTGTCACCCCCTCAGGCCCTCGGCCTCTCCTCTCCCCAGGACAGTCCCTTGTCGCCCACCTGCTGACTCAGGGGCCAGAACTGGGCCTAGAACTTGTGTTTGTCTGGAATCGGGACCCGGGACGAATGGCAGGGACTGTGCCCTGCTCCTTGCAGCTCCAGGACCTCGCTGGCCTCGGAGAGAGGTCAGTGGGCTGGCGGGGTCCCAGCAGGGCTCCGGGAGGCTCCCACTCTGCTCTCAGCTGCTGTGTGACCTCAGCAAAGCCCCCGCCCTCTCTGGATCTCAGTTCCCCCACATGTGAAAGGGGACAGGTACACGCAGCCTGTGAAGGAATGGGGCGGGGGAGGGCAGAAGCCAGTCCCATTCCCAGGCCTTCCCCCCATCTCTCCCCTCTTCCAGGCGCCCTGATCTGGTGGTGGAAGTGGCCCACCCCAAAATAATCCATGATTCTGGGGCACACATCCTTCGCCACGCCAATCTGTTGGTGAGCCCCTGCCCAGCCCACACTTTTAGATCCTGCCCTTCTGCCTTGACCTCACCTCACCCTCAAGCCCTGACCTCAGTCCCTCCCCCACTCCCATGCCCCCCAGGTGGGGTCCCCTTCAGCCCTAGCTGACCAGGCCACTGAGCAGGAGCTCCGGGAATCCTCTCAACGCTGGGGCCACACCGTGTTTGTTGCCCGAGGGGCCCTGTGGGGCTCTGAGGACATCACCAGACTGGATGCAGCTGGTGGTCTTCAGGTGAGGGTCCATGGGGCTCCCCGGGAACTGGGGGGGGGGCAGCCTAGAGACTCCCGCCGCCCTGACCGCAGCTCTCATTTCTAGAGCCTCCGTGTCACCATGGCCACACACCCCGATGGCTTCCGGCTCGAGGGGCCCTTGGCTGCAGCCCCCAGGACCGGGACCCGCACGGTGCTCTACGAGGGCCCCGTCCGTGGCCTGTGCCCCTGGGCCCCCCGAAACTCCAACACCATGGCGGCCGCCGCCCTGGCCGCCCCCAGCCTGGGCTTCGACCGTGTCATCGGGGTGCTGGTGGCTGATCTCAGGTGAGCCCAGCCAGGTGCGGGGAGGGGTGCGGGGGCCCCGGCAGCCGGACTGACCGCCTGTCCACCCCAGCCTCCCGGACGTGCACGTGGTGGACGTGGAGCTGAGCGGACCCCCAGGCCCCACAGGCCGCAGCTTCTCCGTGCACACCCGCCGAGAGAACCCCGCAGAGCCGGGCGCTGTCACCGGCTGGGCCACGGTCACCGCCTTCTGGCGCAGCCTGCTGGGTGCGCCCGGCTCCTCCCCGTGTCGGGGCCTCTCCTGGGGGCCTGGGGTCATGTGTCCCGCAGAACGTGGGCTCTTGGCTCTGCCCGATTTTACAGTTCTGACTCGGCCCTGTTGGCTGGACCGTATTTGTGCGGCCTAACTGTTGTCCTGCACAGCTTGGGAGGGTCCCTATGTCCCTGTGTGTCCATGTCGCTCTTCTGGGGTCCCTATCCCTCCCCGTCTAGGGCTCTGTCCCCCTCTCCCTGGGTCCCTGCTCCCCCCCGGGTCCCTGTCCCCAACAGCCCCCCCACTCTGGGGCCCTGCCCCCTCTCTGGGTCCCCCTCTCTCTGAGTTTCAGTTCACCTCTGGGACTTCCCCTCTGCCCTGCGCTGTCCCTCTCCAGGCGTCTGTCTTTCCTCATCTCTGTCCCTCTTTGTCTCAAACTTCCGTCTCTCCTCCCCGCCCCGCAGGCTGCTGCCAGCTCCCCTCCAAGCCCGGGATCCACCTCTGCTGAGAGGCCTCCTTCCCCGGAGAGAACATCCTCGGGTCATTTACGCCTCCCCGCCACCGTCCCACGCCTGCCTCAGTTTCCCCGGATCTCCCTCCTATCTCAGTAAAGATCGGAGGCTCCTCCCCTGTGTGGTTCTGGTGTCTCTCTGGTCTCTCGGTTCCCCCCCCCGTGACGTCACGCTGCCTCTGCACAGGAACATGACGCCATCACGAGAGGCGGGCACATTCACGGGGCGAGAGGGGGGACGGAGGGCAAAACACGGAGCAGCCATCGCGAGAGCTCATTCAGCCATCGCGAGACCTTATGCACTACATTTCCCAGAAACCTCTGGGCAGCAGAGGGCGCGGTGGCAACTCTCGCTGCGCGGGCTCTGCGAGGTGTATTTCCGGGTTCCTCGGCGGAAGGCTTAGTCCACCCGCAGAGACCGCCGGAAGCTGTAGTCCGTCCCGCCTGCACAGTCGGCGCCGTGCTGCCCACCCCGCGCTCGCAGCCCGGAGCCGCCGCCCAGGGGGATGCGGGAGCCCCTGGCTCGGGGAAGCAGAGAGGCAGGCGGGGTGAGCGGCGTTGCCAGGCAACGGGCGAGCGCCGCGGTTTGGGTAGGGGGTCAAAGAAAAGTGTTCTGTTGCCGGCTGCCCGGGGATGGGGCCTAGTTGCTTGATGGTGGAGGCCCGGAGCCTGTTGGGTGAATGGAGAGTGGGCCATGCTGTCACGTGACAGGAGGAAAGCCCCTTGTTCAGTGACAGGGCAAGGGCCGTATACTGTTACTAGGCGACCAGGAGAGACCCTGTTACCTAGAGACAGGGGAGGAGGATTCTTCTATTGTTAGGTAACGAGAACAGGGACTTTGGTACTTAGTGAGGTGAGGGCCGAGGTCCTCTGTTGCTAGGCAACCAGGGGGGTCCTGTTACCTAGGGTGTGTGTGTGGGGTACCTCTGTTGCTAGGTGAGCAACATAGGGAGCCTTAAACTTAGGGATGGGGGGCATCCCCATCCCTAACTTAGGCAGAAGAGAAAGGCTGTTTTTAAGGAATGGAGGTACCTCTGTGCCAAGGGAGGAGATCAGGGGCCCACTGCCCTCCCAGGTTGCGCTGAGACCCTACGTCAGTGGTAGGGCCCTAAGGGCCTGCTGGGCCTCCATATCCTGAGCTCTGAACCCCTTCCACCCCCCGCTCCCCGCCCCGCCCCCCCACAGGAGCTGCGGACGGCATGTCCCAGGCCCCAGGAGCGAGGCCGAGCCCGCCCTCCGTGTACCACGAGCGGCAGCGCTTGGAGCTGTGTGCCGTCCACGCCCTCAACAATGTCTTGCAACAGCATCTCTTCAGCCAGGAAGCTGCCGACGAGATCTGCAAGAGGTGACCGTCCCTCAGGCGGGCGCTGGCACCTGGAGACGCAGGGCTCAGAGATGTGGCGCCACCCCCTGGGGTCCCACGGGGAGGCGAGGCAGGGCGGTGGGCTCTCTGCTTTCCCCTTTCCCGCTGGCCCCGCCTGGGTTGGTCCCGCCGGCTCCTCTGCCCCCACGGCCTGTCCCAGCTCAGGCCTCAACTTTTTACCTGAACCCTCCTCCCAGCCTCTGCTGGCCTCGCAGCTTCCAGTCTGTTCCCTCCACTCCGTCCTACACTTGACCCCAGAGCTGACCCCACTCTCTCGTGCTCACACGCCTCCCATGGCTCCCCAGTGCCCCTGGAACAAAGCCCAGCTCCTCAGCCTGAGAACCAGGGCCGTGTGGGCGCCGGCCCCCAGTGTCCCTGAGGCTTTGTCCCTCACGGCGCCGTCAACGCAAACAGCTGCCGTAGTTCTCTACCTCTCCTGTGACAGACACAGCTCGAGAGAGGGGCTTCAGTGAACAGAAATGTGTTTGTCACAGTTTAGGAGCTAGGAGTTCAAATTCAGGGCACTGGCTCTAGAGGCTTTCTCTTCCTCGGCTCTGGGATGAGATCCTTGTCTCTTCCACCTACTGTTTCTAGGTTCCTTGGTGATTGTATGCCTCCTGTTTCCTCCTCTGCTGCTTGATTAATCTGCTCTTGTGTATCTAGAAAGGAGTTGATTTAAGACACATCCTACACTAATACTGCCTCAGTAACATAAGGAAAAAAACCCCCAGTCCCAAATGGGATTACAGCCACAAGTGTACAAACCTGTTGCCCTGTGTTTCAACTCACAGCGCCCCTAGTGGACAGAATAGAACTGCCTCATAGGGTCTCCAAGGCTGTCAATCTTCACAGAAGCAAAGTGTAAACTAAACCCACTATGGTGGAGTCAATTCTGACCCACAGCGCCCCTAGAGGACAGAGTGGAACTGCACCACAGGGTCTCCAAGGCTGTAATCTTTTCAGAGGGAGCTCTGGGGGCATAGTGCCTAAGGCATTTGACTGCTAACCAGAAGGCTGGAAGTTCAAACCCATTGCCAAGTTCTTCTTGGAGCAGCTGGTAGGTTTGAACCACCAGCCTTTCTGCTCACAACTGAGCACTTAAGCACGGCGTCACCATTGCCGTGGAGTCGATTCTAACTCACAGCGCCCCTAGAGGACAGAGTAGAACTGCCCCACAGGGTCTCCAAGGTGTAAATCTTTATGGAAGCAGACTGCTGCATCTTTCTCCTACAGAGCAGCTGGGGGTTCGAGCCACCGACCTTTCGGTTAGCAGCCAAGTGCTTAACCACCGCACTACCACAGGGCCTTTGCACAAGCTGTTCCTTCTGCCGGGCGCCACTTCCCCCTCGGCAGCCGGGCGTGGTCCTCACTGCTCACGATTTCAAACATCACAGGGGCTTTGTTGTCACTTCCTCTCCTTCCGCCCTGTTCCCACGGCGCCAGCCCCAGTTCAGGCCCTGTCCTCTCCTGCCTCCACTCACACCCCAGCCTGCCCCCCATAAGGTCCCAGAGCGGTCTTTCTCCCGGGGCTCCCCAGCGTCTTCAGGTCAGCTCTTTCCTGCCAAGGCTGGAGACCCAGAGATAATCAGATAGGAGCTCTTGGGAAATGGGAAAGAATCCACAAACTTTCCACTCCTCCCCCACCGTGCCCACCCAGGGCCCAGAGAGAGAACAGAGGGGCTGTTGTTCACAGGATGCAGGGCCCCAGGGCCGAGTGGTGACAGGCTGGGCCTCCAGGGCTGGGGCACCGACTGAAGGGAAGCCAAGAGACCACTGGCAGCGGGGTTGGGAAAACAGGTGGCTGGGAAGGGGTGGGTCTGAGGCGAAGAGGTGAGCTAGGACCAAAGCGCGCAAGGCCTCGAATGCCAAGTGGAGGGGCCGGGAGTCCGTCTGGAAAGTGCTGGGGAGAGGCAGGGCCAACTCTGCAGGGAGCGACTGGAGGCCACGGAGGAGGCTGGGGTGAGGGTTCAGATGGGAGAAAGCAAAGCCACATGGGGGCCCTGGGGACACGGCAGGGAGCACCACCAAGCAAGGGGCTTGGGGCCTGAGGAGTTGTGGGGGTTGACGAGAGGAAACAGTCCAGAGGTTGGGGTGACCCTTCTGCTTTGTAGGGAGGGTGAGGCCCCCCAGCTCAGGCTGTGACCACCCTCCCCCAACCAGGCTGGCACCAGACTCCCGGCTGAACCCCCATCGCAGCCTCCTGGGAACCGGCAACTATGACGTCAATGTGATTATGGCCGCCCTGCAGGGGCTGGGCCTGGCCGCCGTGTGGTGGGACAGAAGGAGGTAGGACCCCGAGCTGGGCTGGGTACAGAGGGCCACTTGGTCAGTGTGGGGTGGAGAGGGAGGAGGGTGGCTGGGGGCATGGGTGGGCAGGAAAAAAAGCGTCTTAGTCACCCAGTCCTGCTGTATCGGAGATACCACAAGGGGGTGGCTTTCACAAACAAATCCATTTCCTCTCGAGTCAGGAGGCAGGGTCTGAATTCAGCGCCCTGACTCCGGGGAGGCTCTGTCTGCTTTGGGGGAGGCCCTTGTCTGATCTGACCTGCTTCCGCGTGATCTCCACGTGGCGTGGCTTCTGCCTTCCCCGCCTCTCTGCTTGCCTCATCTGCTCATTTGCTCTCTTAGATTGAGTCAAGACACACCCTAATCTTGCCTCATTAACGTAACAGAAAACTCTTTCCCAAATGAGAGGTTAGGGTTTGCAACACATACTTATGAGGGGCTATAAAAGTGGCCGTGGTGGTGGAGGCGGGTGACCTCCAACCTCAGGGAGGTGGCGTCCCCATCGTCATCAGTCATCAGCCCGAGTCTGATGCCTGTGAGGCAGAGGTCAGACACACCTCCTCTCTTTGACCTTTTTACTGATTCTGACACCAGCCATCCCTCCCACAGAGCTCTCTGGGTTCAATAATTCCTCGAATGGTCACACATAACTCACAGACATTACTCATGATTATGGGGTTTATTAGGGAAGTAATAGGATACAGTCCAAGAGCAGAGAAGACCCAGGATACATTTCTTCAATCAGGACAGCTTCTCAGCTGTGCCCCTAAGGAGGCGTCTCTCTGGCCCTCAGCCCCTCAGGTTTCTTGGGCCAGCTGCCCTCTGTCCTGCTTGGGCAAGTGTTACAAAGCTCTTTAGCTCCGCCGATAAGTGCTGGAGGTACCTACTCCACCAGCAAGCCTCCTGCCCGAGGGCACCCAGCTCCTCTGCTCCGTGGGCCCCGTGATCGTCTCCGGTCCGTGTCCTGGTTCTGCGTCTCTGCTGCTGCCGTTTCTCTGCCACTGCTGCTCGCCCCCCCACCATCTCTGTGTCTCCCGGTCTAGGAGGTTCCCAGCACAGGGGCCCTGGGTCCAGAGGACGTGTTCTGCTCCTGTCTCTGCTTGGTGGTGGTCAGCTCCCCACTTTCTGCCTCTGAGATGGCTCATTCTAAGCCTAGCAGAGGGGGGCAAAACTGACCAATCCCTTTTTTAGGGTGTCATATGCCTTATTTGCATGGTTATACCCCCATAGGGTGCCAGGCACCTTATTTGCATTATCAGCAAACTGTCCGATCCCTTTGATGGGCCACAAGCACCACCTTATTTGCATAGCCTCACCCAGTCTTCCAGTGGGCGTTACAGAGCCACGGCAAGAAGGGCCACATAAAAGTGATGCGTCACACTCTGCAGGGACGCAATTAAATCCACTTGAAAGGGTAGATGGCAGGTAGCTTGTGGGTGATGAGGTGGGTGGACAGATGGTTCATAAATGGACAGAAAAGCTAGATGACTAAATGGTCAATGAGATGAGTTGATGGATGAATGATGAGTAGATTGATGGTTATCAGGTGAGTAAATGAGTGGGTGGGTGGCTGATGAAGTGCATGAATGGGTGATGGGTGGCTGAATGATAGTTGGTAGGTGTGGACAGCAAGTAGGTGCTTGAGTAGCTGGATGGATAGATGTTGGGTGGTGTGAGTGGGTGAATGGGTGGTTAAGTAAATAAGGATAGATGGTTGGTAGGTAAACCCACTGTTGTCAAGTCAGTTCTGACTCATAAAAATCCTATAGGACAGAGTAGAACTGCCCCATAGGGTTTCCAAGGTTCTAAATCTTCATGGAAGCAGACTGCCCCATTTTCTTCAGTGGAGTGACTGGTGGGTTTGAACCTCTGACCTTTTGGTTAGCAGTTGAGCTTGGCCACCAGGGTCCTTGGTTGGTAGATGCTGGTAGCACATCAGCGGGTGGGGGGTTTGTATGGTGCACGGGTGGATTGGATGGATGGCGGGTGGGTGGGAGGTAACAGATCAGATCGGGAACGGATAGGCCAGTGGTGGACGGATAAAGAGTGGATAAGGGTAACACTAGCTGGTGTTTGCGTGATGAGTGGACTGATGGATAGATGAGTATGGGTAGTTGGCTGATAGATGGTTATTAGGTGGTTGATGGGAGGTTGGGATGGGTGGAAGGGTCATTGGGTAAGTGGAAGGATGCATGGACATGGATGATGGATAATTTATAGATCAGTGGTGGCTGGGCAAAGAACAAATGGGGAGTTGGGTGCATGGTGGATAATTGTTTAGTAGGCAGTTGGCTGGATGAGTGGAAAGTTTGGTTGAGTGGATGGCAATTGGCTGGAAGGGTGGGAGGTTTGGTTGAGTGGATGGCGGTTGGCTGGATGGTTGGAGGGTTTGGTTGAATGTGTGGTGGTTGGCTGGATGGTTGGAAGGTTTGGTTGTGTGGATGGCATTTGGCTGAATTGTTGGAAAGTTTGGTTGCATGAATGGCGGTTGGCCGGATGGGTGGGAGGTTTGGTTGAGTAGATGGTGGTTGGCTGGATGGCTGGGACGTTTGGTTGAGTGAGTGAATAAGTGAATAAAGAAACAAAGTGTGTTGATGAACGGAAGTCCATGGATGGACTCAAGAGGCCACTGTGGCCCACCCCTGCCTGGTCGCGGCATTTGACCACTGGGGGCCACTGTGCTCCCCCCCCACAGGCCCCTGTCCCAGCTGGCACTGCCGCAGGTGCTAGGGCTGATCCTGAACCTGCCCTCGCCCATGTCGCTGGGACTGCTGTCCCTCCCGCTGCGCCGGCGGCACTGGGTGGCCCTGCGCCAGGTGGACGGCATCTACTACAACCTGGACTCCAAGCTGCGCGCGCCTCAGGCCCTCGGGGACGAGGATGGCGTCAGGTAAGCCAGGGCAGCGGTGGCTGCCCCGTGGCCTGGGAGGGGCTTCGGGCCGCTCGGCATCTCAGTCCCTCCCTCCCGCCCAGGGCCTTCCTGGCAGCCGCGATGGCTCAGGGCTTGTGTGAGGTGCTGCTGGTGGTGACCAAAGAAGTGGAAGAAAAAGGCTGCTGGCTGCAGACAGACTGACCCCACAGAGGAGGACCACGGCCACCACGGGGCTCATCCGATGCCTGCCTGGTGTGGTCCGTGTCATCTCCCTGTGCCAGGGAGGGGCCGCGCCCCCGATCCTGGACCCCACAGAGGCCAACCCCTTCCTTATACCCCTGCCCCCAATGCCGCTGCTGCCTCAATAAACCTGCCTTGTCTGACTCTGGGTTTGTGGCCGAGCTCTGAACCTCTGCGCCACCAGGGCTCCTTCCGTAAAGATGACAGCCCAGAAAACCCCACGGGGCAGCTCCACGCTGTCACACGGGGTCACTGAGTCAGAGCCGGCGTGGCGGCAGCCCGTGCTATGGGAGGACCGGAATCTCGGGGAGTGAGCCCTGTGTGGTGGTGGTTTGAGGAGGTGATGAGTGAGTCCTGGCAGGGTCCGGAGCAGACAGGGCCTGAGTGAGCTGAGCGCCGGGCCAGGAGCAATGGAGCAGGGGTGGGGAGAGGAGGGGCAAGGGGCAGGGGGCAGGGGGCGGGGGCAGGTCGGTCTGGCTGTAGGCAGACCCCGTGGGATGGACTGGAGGCTGGGGGCATGGTCCTGAATGGGGATAGAGTGGTGACAGGTGACAGAGGAGAGGACAGGCCTGGGCCTGGTGGCGGGGGGTGTGGGGGGCGAGGGAGAGAAGATACCAGGGGTTTGGTCCTGTGACCGAGTGGAAGGGTAAGAGGAGGGACAGCGGGGTCACCCCAAGTGCCTGGGACCCCGGAAGAGGACTGAGTTTGGGGGAGATGCTGTGCTCAGTGGGGAGACAGTGACAGGTGGGGGGATCTCAGGCTGTGCGGCCCCCAGAGATAGAGTCGGGGGGTGGCGGGCTGTCCTGGGAGGTGTTGCGGGGTGTGAGCTCAGGGAAGGGAAGGGGAAAAAGGGGGCCTGGACGAATCTGGGGGCCTCCATTAGGTGCCAGGCAGAAAGAGGGCACCCCAGGCCGACGGGCACGCTGTGGGGGCAGTGAGAGGCAGGGGGCGCCTGGTGGGGGCGTCTCCACCACTCGGCCTCAGGCTGGACTCCACGGACTGCACGGGCCAGTGAATCAATCCATCCAAGGCCAAGCAGGACCAGCTGAGCCCAGCACCCAGAGCAGGGCGGGGCGGCCATGGCCGCAGGACGCCTCATAAAAGCCTGGGTGTCAGGCTGGGGGCGTGGGGCTCCTGTCTCCAGGACATCGGGGTCACGAGGGATGGCAAAGTGAAAAGCCAGCCACAGCACCAGAGAAGTCTGTGGGGGCCCTTGCCCCCCTCCCACCCCCACCGTGCCTCCTCCGCGGTGACCTGTGTGTCTCTGACCTGGTCTCTCCCTTTGTCTCTCTGAGTCTCTCCCATCTGTCTCCATCTCTGTATGCCTTTCTCTGTCTCTCTCCTCACCTCTCCCTGCCTCCTTCTCTCTGGCTATGTCCGTCCGCCTGTCTGACTCCGTCCATCTTTCTCCATGTTTCTAGGTCTCTCTCCTCATCTCAGCCTCTTCTCTCTGTATGTCCGTGTCTCTCACCTTCTCTCTAGGGGTCCGGCCTCCCCTCAGCCCCTCAGGCCCTGCCTCCCCCGGGGCGGCCCCCCTCCCTGCCTGTCCGCCGTCCCATCCCGGGTCCCAGACAGCCTGGCGGGGCCAGCCCGTGTGTTTCTATTCTTGGGGCTGAGTGGCAGGGCTGTGACCACCCCAGGTGCCACCTCGGTACTGGCCAAATATGGTCCGGAGCGAGCGAGTGGGGGTGAGGCTGCCGTGGGGGCTGGGACGGGGCGCCCTCCCCTGCTGGCCCTGCCCCTCATGTGGCACCCGGGGCCCTGCTGTCTGGCCACTGGTTGAGCACTGTTTGCAGGACATCCCTGTCCAATCAGCTCCCTCTCACTTTTTAGGGGAGCAATTTCTCAGGGTCCCCACTTCTCAGGGAAGGAAGACTTCCCTCAGAGGGTTGCCTTTAGTCCCGGGTCCCCCAGTGGGCCGTCCCAGAGCTGAAGGGGCGAGGAGGGGGTCCGGGCTGTTGTTGGGGGTGCCCCAGGCAGCCGCACAGGGGCCTCTCGACCCCCAGGGGGTGGGGGAGGGGCTGCGGTCACGCGGCAGGTGGGGGGGGTGTTGTATGACAGCTGTCCCTGCAGCCCCCAGGTGCCGACAGCTGAGGCCCAATTTAGCTCCGGAGCTGGGATCTGGCCTGATAAGGAGGTGGGGGAGGACGGCCCCGCCCCCAGGGAACCCCATAAATTGCCGGGCTGGGCCTGGGGGGTGGCCGCCGCCGATGCCAGGTGAGAGGGGCCGCGCTGGGCCTCGACTTCCCCGCCGCCCCGCCCGCGCAGCGGTCTCTCCTGTCTCTGTGCGTCTCCCTGTATCTCTAGCTCTCTCCATTCACCTCGCTCTCTGTCTCTTCACCTCTCCCCTCCCGGTGGCGGTCTCTTCCCGTCCGTCTCCCCCATCTCTGTCTCTCTCTGACCTTCTCTTTGGGGGTCTGCCCCTCTCTCCAGTCCTCTCCCGTCTCTGTTTCATTCCCTGTCTCTCTCATCCCGTCTGTCTCTCTCCCCCATTACACTCTCTCCATCTCTCCCTGTCTCTGAGCCTCTTTGTCTCTGTCATCTCTCTCTGTCTCTGTCTGTCTCTGTATCTCTGTCTCTGTATCACTGTCTCTGTCTCTGTGTCACTGTCTTTGTCTCTGTCATTTCTGTCTCTCTGTATCACTGTCTCTCTGTCTCTGTCTCTTTATATCATTGTCTCTGTCTCTCTGTATGTCTCTGTCTCTGCCACTGTCTCTTTTTGTCTCTGTCTCTCTATATCACTGTCTCTGTGTCTCTCTGTCTCTATCATTGTCTCTGTCTCTGTCTCACTGTCTCTTTATGTCTCTGTATTGCTCTCTGTCTCTGTATCACTGTCTCTCTATTGCTGTCTCTGTCTCTCTGTCTCTCTGTATCAGTGTGTCTCTGTGTCACTGTCCCTGTCTCTCTCTCTCCCCCTTCTCTCTGGCGCCCCGTCGGCTCCACCTCTCCCCCTTTGCCTCTCTCTGTCTCTCTGACTTTCTCTGTGTGTCTCTGCGTCTCCCCGTCTCTCTCTGCGGCTCTCTACGGTCTGTTTTTCTCTCCACCCCTAGCTCTCTCCCTCTGTCCGTCTCTGTCTGTCTGTCCCTCTCGCGCTCTCTCTCTCTCCCCAGCTCTCACTGACTTCACTTCTCTCTCCAACTTGGCCCACACCGAGCGGGACCCCAGGGCCTGCCGCCACCGTTTTCTGCTGAATAAAGCTGTTTCTGTCCTCACCTCTCTCCGCTCCTCTGCCTCCTTCATTCCTTCAACTGCTGCCTCTGAGCTCGGCCCCTCCGGCCCTGGTCCCTGGGGTGGGAGTGGGGGGCTCCTCCCTCGCGGAGACAGCTCAAACCAGAGGCCCAGAGACAGACAGAGACCCAGGCGAGAAAGACAGAGAGCAACACTGGGAGAACCAGAGACAGAGATGGGTGGGGACGCACAAACCCGGAGACGGGAGCCCTCGGTGGGACAGCGGGACACAGGGACAGAGAGACCGGCGGTGCCCTCTCCCCTCCCCCACATCCAACCCCAGAGGGCAGGGCTGGGCAGCCTCCCCTCATCCCCCTCCTGCTCCCCCAGCCAGGCCCAGGACAATGAGCCCTTGTCCAGCCTCCTGGAGACCGCGGGGCCCAGGGCTGGGCTGGCGTTGGAAGCGAGGTTGCTGGCTCCTCTGGGGCCCCCACCTGGTTGCCCCGCCTCACCCGGCCCGGCTTCTGCCCTCCGACTCCCCCCGCCCTTTCTCCCTCGCGCTCCTCCTTCCGCCCCGGCCCAGGGCCTCCTGCTCTCCGCCTGCTTTCTGCTCTGCCTGGGGGAAAGGAGTGGGCATTTATCCAGCACCTGCTGTATGCGCCGGAAGAGCCTTCTCGCCGCTCCTCCCTCCCTTCTGCTTCCGGTCCTCTGCCTGGGCTGCCTGTGGCTTCCTTCCTGGCCAGACAGTGGGCACTTATTAAGCACCTGCTGTTTGACAGGCGATCCGTACATGGCCCCCCCGTGCCTTCCACCCTTTTTGCGCCCATCTTTCCCACCCTGATTCCTTTCTCTCTTTTCTGTCTCGTCAGTCCTGGGAAGAGAAGTGGGCATTTATTGAGTACCTACTGTGTGCCGGGGAATTTAGGGAGCCGAGCTCCTCTCACGGTCCACTCTTTTCCTCCTTCACTTCCTTCCTTTCCTCTTTGGCTTCCTCTCTTTCTCCGACTTGTCTGCCCTCTCCCTGGGGGAGAACAGATATCTATTGAGCGCCTACTGTGTGCCGGGCACTGTACACGCCTTCTGTCCCGTCCTGCACTTTCTCCGCTCTCCTCCAAGGGGAAAAACGTTACGTTAATTGAGCACCTCTGGTATACCAAGCAGCTGCCATGGCTTCTGTACGTTCCTCTCACCTGCCCCATCTCCGTGACCTGTCTCTGCTGGCCTCTGTGTCTCTCTGCCAGGGAAAGGAATGGGCATTTACTGAGTGCCTACTGTGTGCCAGGCAAGTTTCAAACGAGCTGCCTTCCCCTGTGACCTCGCTTGTCTTCGTTCCTCTCTCTGGCTTCCCCTCTGGCTTCCTGCTCCCTCCATCTTTCTTGAGGAAGGAAATGAGCGATTATGGAGCGCCTGTTGAATGCCATCGCACCTCCTCGCGTGTCTCCTCCTCCCCACTTCTCTCTCGCCAGGCCAGCTCCTCCTTCCCTGTCCCCTGGGCCCTCCTCCGGGAGGAGAGTGGGCATCCGTGGCGCGCCCCCTGTGTGCTCTTGCTCTCGCACCATCTTCTCCCCGTCCGCCTCCCGCTGCTGCAGCCTCCCCCCCCCCCCCCCCCCCCCCCCCCCCTCCGCCCTCCTCTCCTCTCCTCCGCCGACCGCGTGCATTTGCTGAGTGCTTCCTGTAGCCTCCCGCCTCGCCTGCACGCGCCCCGCCCGCTTGCTCTGTCTCTCCGGCTTCTCTCCTCCATTCCTGCTGGTCTGGGAGCTCTCCCGTACGGGAGGAAACGGCACGGATTGAGC